ATTCCGAAGTGGATTTAATTAAATCTTTGAATGATATTATTATGAATATTTCAGATAAAATGCAAACATTTTATTTTGAAGAGGTGATTTAAATAGAATGATTTATATTATATATATATATTTATAAATACTACATTCATATATTCATACACGCATTTCAAATATGTCTATTTTTTGTAGGAGAGTGATAATGATGATGATGATGATGATGATGATGATAATGATAATAATAATACTAATAATAATAATAATGATAATGATAATAATAGTGATAATAATAATGATAATGATAATAATAATGATAATAATAATACTAATAATGATAACAATAATAATGATAATAATAATAATAGTAATGATAATAATAATAACATTAATAATGATAATGATAACAATAATGATGACAACAATAATGATAATAATGATAACAATAATAATGATAATAATAATAATGATAATAATAATAGTAATACTAATAATGATAATAATAATAACATTAATAATGATAATAATAATGATAATGATAATAATAATGATAATGATAATGATAATGATAATGATAATGATAATAATAATAGTAATGATAATAATAATAATACTAATAATGATGGCAATAATAATGATGATAATAATAATAGTAATGATAATAATAATAACATTAATAATGATAATGATAATAATAATGATAATAATAACAATGATGATGATGATGATGATAATAATAATAACTCAGTTAATAAACTTTTCTGTTTATTAATATGTTAATTTGTTTGTATTTTTTGTCAACTTATGCATTTGTTTTTTAAAAACCTTGCAGATATATAATCTTCGTACTAGAAGAAGAATCAATTACAATGTTGGTTTATTGCCATCGAGAAAACGCCGTCGCCACAACCATGTAAGTATAAGCTGAAACATTAATAGTAGACATAACACTTTATTTAATTTTTTTTACTTATATTTATAGGCACCACCACCATCCTTAAAACACTTACTCATCATTCCTCGTATTATTTTCTCTGCTTCTTAAATTTTTATAATTGGACATTTTTTTTTTAAAAAATTAAATAAAAGTTTGTTGTTTAATCGACGACGCGTACACATTAATTATTTATCCTATTGGTTTTTTTTTTTGGTAGGACAGACGCGAATGATTTTTTTTTTTCTTGGAAAGACAATTTATTTATTTTTTGACAGAGTCCAAGGTGACAAAACGTGAACATTGTTGTTTGTTTGGTTTGGGTCTCCTAAAGAAACGTTTTAATAACTAACCAGAGGTACTTTTTTTTATTTGTATTGATATGTATGAGGTGCCTTTTATTTTAGCTTATAAATATTTTAATTGGAATCAAAACGCGGAGGAGATCTTGCTGGGTAATTACAAGATTTTCATTGATAATATTTTGCTTTGCGTAATCGTAATAATAATACTAATATTATATTATTATAATTACAAGATGTCAAGGCAGCATTGACTGTTGAAAAAGAAACATTTTGGTATGCGATGTTTGATTATCGGAAACTTACAGATGTTGAAGCACGCACGCTACCTTGAACACTTTACAGTCATTCACACACGTTTCTCATGTACATAAGGCTAATCTGACCACGTTTCTCCCGATGATATGATGATGTTGAAATCTGGGGGGGGGACGCAAAGCTCTGGAGTTTACCAAGACTGCATC